AAATTATATTACATTTGTTTACAGAACAAAAGTGTACTATTTCAATAGCCACAGTTTCGCGTGTCATATAACGTACCCTGGAACTCCATCAGAGTCACTGCCTCTTGGAAGCCCATTGGGAGGACCCCATCTCCCCATCAGAAGCCTGTTCCTACACCTATATGAACGAAATTCCAAAATTGGATATGCGATTACATACTATATTATATTCACGTTTAACACATCTTGTTTTGAGAATGTAAGAATACTTCGGTGTATTTTCCATATGATATCCGTTCTGGGAAAAAAGATTTGATTATTTTTATTATCGCTTTCATTTTTTTTCCTTATAACTAAGTAACGATGTTTTGAATGAAAGCACAGATTAACAAAGCTGTTCAGATTTTGGAACCAAACAAACAACTAGTGACAGTTCATTTTGTTGTTTCCAGATCTTTAGCGGACTTGCTATCAGACAGCCTGGACAAGATAAGTGTTTCATCATTGTTGGTGGGTTCTTTTCAATTATCTAGTGAAAATAATCCAACGTTTGATCCAAGTAACTATCACAAATTAGTTTATTTCATCCTTTTGACGTCTCTTAATTACAAATGACGTTCACGCGTCTCTAGTTACACTAGGATTAACATAAAATCAACTTGGTAACTCAACAAGCGCGATATTTGACACAGATCCCAATACTCCACGAAAATCACGACTGATTCAACTCTCTAACTTGAAAAACATATCTTCAAATATCTCTACGCTCTCTAACTATATCCTTGGTTTGTATTGAATTTCGCGCAAAGCTACACGAGGGCTATCTGCGCTAGCCGTCCCTAATTTAGCAGTGTAAGACTAGAGGGAAGGCAGCTAGTCATCACCACCCACCGCCAATTCTTGGGCTACTCTTTTACCAACGAATAGTGGGATTGACCGTCACATTATAACGCCCCCACGGCTGAAAGGGGTGAGCATGTTTGGTGTGACGGGGATTCGAACCCACGACTCTCAGATTGCGAGTCGAGCTCCCTAACCACCTGGCCAACTATATCCTTGACTATTTTTCAACTTGTTGTTCACTATTCCACCCGTTCTCACTGGAAATGGTTTCAAACTGAGCCTGGTATGACTCCCATGGTATCTTCTCATCATAATAGATTCTCTATTGGCCGATGTTGAACTGGTCAGCTAAATTCTGGAACTGGATTTGGTAATGTCATGGCTAAAGTACTCTACGAAGGTCCTTCACTAAGAGAGTATACAACAGTAGTGGTAATAGGTGTAAATAAAATGAGTTCGCCTACACCATATGTGTAGAAGATTGCATTCCAGGCTGGAACTTTTGTGCCAAAGCAAAAGAGTGGCTGGTTTAATCTTCGCATTTAATAACCCATTTTACTACATGTTCTCTTCTACCTCGTTGATGTGTTTCTTTACTTTCATGTATTTTTGTACTTCGCGTATCTTAACATCATACACCCTCTAGTTAACATTTAAATTACACCATTTAAAATATAGTTTATAACAATAGTAAAGGGTCAGGTACGCCGTGTAATGAACACTACCTGCATAACATGTGATATTTTGGTTAGAGAATGTTGGACACATGCGTAATTAGTTCCCTGCTTATTAAAAGCAATTCAGAATTTGGTTAGCAGAAGTGTAATAAAAAAACTATTAAAAAAATCACTTGGTAGCACAAACGATGAGAAAATACTAAACATAAATCTACAACAACTAATGTGACATTAAACAGAAGTGAACTGGAATTAATAAATTAAAGCAACGTGAAACTGAATTTAAAATTACAAATTAACTGAAGATCACATACACTGAAAGAAGAACATATATAATTTAACACATCCTGATCGACCATTAAAAAAAAAAGAGAAATAAGGACAAATCTTTCAGGAGTTTTCTCCTTTGACTGCTAATATAGAACTATGGGGGAGGGGCCTTCAGAAGCGATAAAATCTCTATGTGTCAGCAAACAATTACGAATTGTAATTTTTTCCTAGAAATTAAAATATATAATCGTAAAATTTAGTTCTATATGTCTCTACAAATAATAAGAACAAGAAACAGTTATTTATACTATTATCCATAGTATATCTTAATTTACACACGAACTGATTAGTAACCAATCATAAAACAATAAAAAATATCAATACCAGAACTTGATATGTGTAAGCTGAATGCATAGTGATGTCACCGTAAACGGAAATATGTCTGACAGAAAATTGAATGTCCATCCCAATAATGTAATGTTTCCCAAACTGTGGTTCGCGAACCCTTTGTGGGTTATCGCAAAAAAATTCCGTAAAGGCTGAAGCAAAATTGTTTGAGCGAATCCATCATACTGAGTAGATTACAACTTTAAGATTTCTCAAGAAAAATGGAAAGGTGTGGGAAGTAGACTGCTATTGTTGTTTTTAAAATTAAGATGACGAACAAGTTTAGGCTTAATCAAAGTGATACGAGTTACGAAAGTGAAATCTTGGAATAGTGTTGTTTTCATAATGTAATAACATTAATAACGGAATGATAAATAATAATGTAATAACAAATAGTGTGTAATAAAAGTGTCATAGGAATAGCAAATTTTATATTTCCAAGATCACTGTTTTTATAATTTATACTCAGGTAAGGGAAAAATCCCTGGAAGATATTTATTTTTAGCGAGATTTGGTATTTTCATAAATAAATTCGGGATGTTAAAGTTTGGAACCACCGCAATGGTGCATCACATAGCAGATTTGATAAGCTATTTTAACACATTCCCATAAAATAAGCAAACTAACAAAACATTAATCAGAGGGAAAAAATCAAGTTTAACCATAACTTCTGTGAACTCCACTTGACCCGAAACACAGTTACTATATTATATATGCATTATTATTATTAAAAGATTTATTGAAGATATGATTAAAACTGTGCCATACAACATGCTTTTGCTGGCAAGTTAATGTTTTTTTTTACCTGACAAATCTGAGTATCTACCCTATACTGATTAGTTTAGAAAAACTGGTGTTATTTGAAATACTCTTCCACTCAAAAAGTGTTATAAAAAACTATTTTCTTTTTCTTAAGTTGTATATAATAAAAGTGTGTTCTTGCTTTTATTTTTAGCCATTAATAAACAACTTAAGATATTTTATACTTGCTATCAAAACAGAATTTCATCTTTTTTTCACGTTTTTACGCACTGCTTGGATTAGAGTTCTACACTTTCTGAGATATAAGTATTAAATAATATATAACATTAAAGTCCTTAAATATTAAACACACAAACACCTATTTTACAGCACCAGGCAATAACAGAAACCTCCAGGGCTTTGAGTTCTGGAATTCATGCCATGAACAATCGTCCACCCCTACGTCTCATGGGAGAGACCCTCACGTGCCTCTTACAAGAAAGAAAACTTATGGCCTAAACTTTCCCAACATCATATGGGGAGGGGCTGTTTTGTCTAATGATACTCGTAGGATGCATGACGTCATTTTCGAAATCCGGTCTTCCTCCTTTCTTTCGACACCAGAGCAAAATACCCAAACAACTAAATATTATTTTATCTTTCACTTCAGTTAATTTTAGGTACTGTATAGCGTACTTTATAAAGGTCTTACATGGAACCACTCAGTAGTGTGTAACAAGAGTTATTAGCAAGGTGGAATCTGATGTTAAAATAAAAAGTCTGGCGTAAATCTTTCTTTTTTTAACCAATGACATCCAGGAAAAAAAAGTTAAAAAGAAATATAAAAACATTAAAAAGTTTCGAGAGCACGCAGTGAAAATAAATAAAGAATGTCCGTCTAACAGGTTGAACTTGAAGGTACAAAAAACTTCAGAACTAGTCACCAACTTTTTTACTATGATTTAAAACGCGTTACAATTTCTATAGATACACAGTTACACACGAATGACACTGTTTAACAGTACAAAAAAAGGTGTCGAGCTTTTAATTACGTTGATATAATGTTGCAATAATGATACTCAATAATAATAATAATACAAATACAGTTCTTGAAGACCACGTAAAGAAAAAAGCTTTTTACTTTTTGTGAGACATCCACTCGCTTTAAATCTAGTTTAACCATCTACATTTGCAAAAATGTATTGCAAATTCTGTAACTTTGTTGTTACTTTTTCAATTAGCAAAGGGGGATCGCTAAAGTACTTTTCACGGTCACGTACTATATCATGAAAATAATCAAATTAAAGCTGTCTGTACAATTAAAATGAATAAATGATATTAACGCAAAGGAAAATTGCTACTTTAAATGTTAAGTGTTAACCGGAGTATTATGTAGTGCTTGGATTGCCATAAGATAACTGAACAGATAGATGGCAGTGTGCAAACCAAGCTTCTTACTTTAAACTAAAACTACACACCTTCCAGAAAAGATTTGTATATGCATACTGCATGCCTCATTGTAGACCATGTATTATTTTCAGTTTAAACTTTAAAAAAAAAAGAAATTCAATAATATTGTTACATACTAGTCCTCTTTAATTTATAACATCCAAATGTCATGACAGTTGAAATAACTATCTTAGTTTCTAACCCAAATCTGACAACAAAGGCATAAAATTTCGATTTATAAAGAAGTCAAGTTTTAGATAAGCAATAATATGGTTATAACTTGTAAGTATCAAATTGTCACTTGTGTACGGAAGCATATTATGCTAATATAAACGATTTATAAGCATAATAAAGTAGTTTTATTTGGGGAACATATATTACTTGTTTCGACGAAACATTGGATGTCTTCTATTGAAACACTTAGTAACAAGTATGTTCCCCAAATAAAACCATTTCACTATGCTTATAATTACAGATCGTTTTGTTAATTTACGGTTATCGTATCATCTTTGTTTTAGAGAACTGATTTACAACACGTGCTCGTGAGCCTGCAGACGTCCTACATTTTTGTACAGATATATTTACTCATACATTAATGGTTTTAAAGGGATAAAATAATATACCAAGTGCAATTACCTTTCCCTTACGACTTACCAAAGCTAAGGTGAACCTCCTTTCTAGTTCATTTGGTTCTGGCATGGGCATTTTGACACAGTCAACTCCGGAATGCTTATTTCGCATTGAAACCGGGTGATCGACTTTGGTCTGTGAACTTTCGGAATTTCCCATACTTACACAGTTCAAAGAAACTAATATTTTTTCCGTTAACTCTTACGTGCCTTATGTATATCCATCTCGAACTATGTAACTACATATTAACACAAAATATCAACATTTCCGAACCTCAAATGTCGTAAACCTATTTTTTAACTTTTCACGTTTTCAACACACCACCACCTCACTCACATAACTTGCATTACTTGACTTACAGTTTCAAACATTGGGTCGCTTAAGGTTCGGGCGCCAGCGAGTCGGCGCATACGTTCTGGCTGAAACATTTTTAGCCAATCACGGAGAGCGTATACAGAAGACTTTCCTTTTGTGATTTATTACATCAACGCTAGATCGCAGCACAAACAGAAAGACAGGCCAATTATTTGTAATTTTGTTTATAATATATAAAATATTACTTTTACTTTTGTTCATGGTGTTAGAAAAACACGTCGGTTCAAGAAGCCTTGATAGAAATTAATAAAAACCGTATAATACGAGCGCTTTCGAAAGGTCCACCTTTCGAAAGCGCTTGGGTTATAGGGTTTTTACTCATTTGTATCAAGACTTTTACATTTGTATTATTTTCAAGTCAATTGCTAAAATACATTTAAGAATGATATATTTCATTATTTATAGAATAACCTTTTATAGCAGAAAATATATTAATAATGTTTATTGTGTTTTAAGAACTACAAAAAAGCTTATTTATTTTGTTTGACATAAATAAATGTGGGTGCTGGGATATTATTATTACGAATTACGGAAAATACGCGTATTGTGAAAGAAAAATTATGTCTAAAAGTAACTGATGTGTAGAAAAGTTATTGTTTGTTAAAAATGTGTCAGAATTTATAAATATAATTATTTCGACAATTGTCAAAATAAAATGGTTTTACTTATAATTCTTAATAGTATAAATATATACTGTATTGTTGTTGGGCTTAGGATTCTTTTACAGTTGAGTAGGTGTCTGTGACTTGTTGGAGATAAATTCAACAATAAATGAATAGCACGCACTTCACCTGTTTTCAAAATAATATATATGTATATTTGGAACAAGTTAAACGTATGTACAACAAATTCTTCACACTATAGAGATTAGACATATCATAGACACTATATATAGTTCTCTTCTTATTGTCAAAAGTCCACTTAGGCCTATTCAATTA